GAGATTGCCATAAGTCTGTATGCATTAATTGAAATGGAAAAAGAGATAAACGACTTGAGGACTGAAAAGGAAGGCGAACAAGTTTGCCTAACTGACATGCATGACATAAAGAGTTTAATTGAGATTTATTAAAATTATCAAGAGAAGAGGAGACGCCATGGAGAACTGCGGGGCTTGGGTGTCCAAGTCGGCGGTGCCATGTGGATGAGTCGACTTTGGCTAGGTGAAGGTGCGCTGGGGGATGGTCTGGATATAGCGGGTAGAGGTATCCGTCACTACTGGATCGATGAATCACGGCTCCCGTCCGTTTGTCCTTCACAGAAAAACCGGATGAGTCAAATTCAACGGAACAATTGTTATCACGAGTAAATTGTCAGACAGATATAAGGTTATGGATAATATGTGGGGAGACAAGGACATTTTTCAGGGAGAGGGGAGGGTTTGTGTAAAGGAGACCGTTACCAGAGGCCGTAGTGCACACTTTAGATCCATTACTTACAATAATATGAGCGGGTGAATAAATGTTTGAAGAAAATACATGAGATAAAGTACCTGGGTCAGCGGTGATGTGGTGAGAGGCTCCAGTGTCCATGAACCAAGTTGGGTTGGGGTTAAGGGTGAGGTGTTCTAGACTGTGGGCCAGGGCTGTGGGGGAGGTGGGAATTGGGTAGTGGGTATTTGGGCTTGGGGAATAACTGGCATAAGCTTGGGCTAGGGGGTAGGGTTGGTATGGGCGTGACCCAAGTAAATCGGGTGAGGGGGGAAGAAAGTTGCCAGGATCTTTGACTCGTGGGTTGCCGCTGGGTTACGCCGCCGCCACGACCTCGATCGCGTCCCCTGCAGCGAAATTCGCCGCCGCCTGAGCCCCTGCTCTGTCCGCCGTGTCCGCCCCTTCCTAGGTTGTGCTGGTCCTGCCGGTCGACAAGGAGCAAGGCGGATCGGACCACCAGGAAGGTGGGAAAGGGATTTTGGTACTGTAAAAAGTATACTTGACCTCGGATGTCATGCGGCAAGCCCTGTAGAACTTGTAGGACGAGGGCATGCTCGGTCACCAGGGCGTCCACATCGTCAAGATAATCGGAGAGGCTTTTGAGGAGACTGCAATATTCATCGATTGAGCGGTTTCCTTTCATGGTTGTGCGGAAGCGGTGTTCCAATTGCATTGCTCGTGGATGCTTGTTGTCGTGGAAGAGGTTATAGATCACCGTCCATAACGCATGAGCGGAGAGGTTGTTGGCAAGAACGAGATCGGAGACCTCGTCCGTGATTGTTGATAAGATCCATCCTTGGAGTAGAGCATCGAATCGATACCATTCGGAGTCGGTTGCGGAAGAGGCTACGTGTTGGCCATGTGTGCAGTAATTGTCTCGTGGCGGAGGCTATGTGGGCCAAGTCACAATCGAATGTCGTGGGCGCTTGTGTGCTGGATACATTATAAGGCTAGGGTATGCGCCTTTTCTAACACCAATTGGTTTTAGAAGAGTTGGTAGCGCCTGAGGTCCTACAAGTGGTATCGGAGCAAGGTTCACGAGTTCGATTCCCAGCGGGAGCAATTGCTGAGGGGGAGATTGTTGGCCATGTGTGCAGCAATTGTCTCGTGGCGGAGGCTATGTGGGCCAAGTCACAATCGAATGTCGTGGGCGCTTGTGTGCTGGATGCACTATAAGGCTAGGGTATGCGCCTTTTCTAACACCAATTGGTTTTAGAAGAGTTGGTAGCGTCTGAGGTCCTACACTACGGTGGTGCCGTCGAGGAAGCCCATGAGATTAAATCGGAGAACTAAGAGACGGAATAATCTACTCCACTTTTTATAATTCGGCTCGGAGATACTAAGTTGCACGGGAATGTGTAGTTTGATATTAGATATGGTTGTGAAGGCTAGGTGAGGAGAGTTGGGAGAGTTGTTGGAGGAGGAGTTGCCCTTGCCGGAGGAGACAGAAGAGTCGGCCATGGTTGTCACCGGGAGAGGGCCGAAGGTGAGAGAGAGAGAGAGAGCCGATGGTGAGAACGGGAAGCCGAGAATTATGGCTCTGATACCATGAAAGATTTGTTATTTCCAATGATTCACAATGTGATATTACAAGAGAATATATACTAGGAGAATCCTAGTTATGTTAGGAAATACAATTAAGGTAACCTAAACATGTATGGTAACTAGGATATTTATAATACAATAATATATACATAATATATTTAAATATAGAAATACTATATTTAACAGAAGCCCCCACCATGGAGGTGCCAAAGGTAGGACGCAGACTCCGCACATGTGTTTTTAACCTTGTCCATCGAGTAAGCACTCACACCTCGTATGACCTAATTCCTAACAAGTCGTATTGGTGACTTAAGTATTTAGTTCAGTCCAGATCAACCTAACTCACTAGGTTATCTATCTCAATCATAATCTAAAATCCATCAACAGTAGCTTAATTCAATCCAATTTGCAACTTAAGATAAGAACATAAAAAGTAGCGACCTAACAGAAACCCATCAGGTTTCTGCTTACCTTCATGCCAAAACATAATGGTTAGTTCCAAAGTGAAATTAAATATACTTACCTGTGTCGCAAATTTTGGACCAAGGAGTCTATCCTCAGGACCATTGCCCCCGTTGACATAGTTGACGTTGCCACTAGACCGGCCCAGCACCCCGCCATACTAACCTAACAGTCCCCACACCACTGCCTTAGTTGGCCACCCACTTGTCGGCCCACAAGCGCATATAGTACTCGTCAGACCTCGTTTCATCCAATATATTTAAAATTTAACCTAATTAAATCTAAATAGACCCATTTAATCCTAAATAAACCCAATCAGACCCAATTGAGCCCAACTGGACCTGTCTAATGAGTCACTAATCTCAGCTGGCCATACTGCAATCGTCCCGTCGGTAATCTCACCAAAAAATTTTGGAAGCTCTCCAATGTAATCCTAATCATGCTCTTACCTTATTCAACAATCAATTCAAATTTCAATAATCAAATCATCTAAATTCACAATCAATTGTAAGATTTAACAATATGATATCTGATGTAATCTATGAATTAATGCTTATGTTTGGTATATAACCACGACTCACCTCGATAATTGAAGAAAATGGAACTCAAACGAGGGAGGACCGCTACTACTACTCCCGTCGCTTCAAATTGCACCAAAATAGAGAGAGGAGAAAATGATAGCGATGACTAGTAGGGTAAACACGGCGACAGTAAAAAATTGGGACAAAGAAATCTCTAGTTACCGCTTGCGACACCAAACAGAAAAACTAGAAGAAGAGTGAGTGAAGGGGGGGGGGGGTTTGCAGCGAAAAGAACAAGGAACAAGGCTTTTGTGCGTTAATACATGTATTAATAGAGTTGGGGTCCAAGTTCCACCTCCTAGTTTAATTAGTTCAGGTCCACTTACTTAGTTCGTGAATTAAAACTTGGCCCAAAACTCCATCTCACGGTCTATTTGCGTAGGCGGGTTTAGATTGGCGCGCTCTACATCAGAGAATTAAATCCACATTAAAAAGACAAATTTCAAAATAACCTTATTCATGTCTTACTCGGTAATTAATTAATTATTTAAATCAATTAAAATACTAAGCAGGTTTTAGGGCATTCATAATTGAACAAAAAAATAAAAAAATTGTGACAAATGGATTAAATTTTGTCCATATTCAAAATCGTTCATGAGTGGCTTTTCACATTCCAAAACATTATCATGGATGCCATTTAAAAAGAGAAGGTTACTTCACGTTGAAGGGTGTGAAAGAGAATTTGAATACTTTCTTGTTTTCTAGCAACTCTTTCCAATTTTTATTTTCCTTTGCTGGTGATTGTCCCATGCCGCTCTCGTTCATTGGTGTAGTCTTGGATCGTTCCACTGGCCTAAACATTCATGGTTTTATCTTGGGAGGACGACACTCACATTTTGATGTATGGTAGGTGGGCACTACTATATTTAAGAGAGCGATTATGGGTCCACATTTATACTCTCCATCTCTATCTCATCTACTATTAGACTCCACTTGCTGCCCTAGTTTGATCGTCACTGTCGCTATATAACAAAGTAGCTACCGTCACTGTCTATAGTCACTGTTGCTGCTAATCAACACTATTTGCTTTAGTTTAATCTTTGTTTGAATGGTAGAATTCAAATAATAATTATAAATATTTATTATCTAGTATTGTTTGATTTTGTACTCGGATCTGTTCATATCCTTCCTCATCCTTGTAACCGTTCATAGTATAACACATGATTATGTTGATCTTTCATATGGAGTTACACTTTTAAACTCGGTCTCATGACCCTAATGCCAAAATGGTAAGAAACGACCACCCTTCTCAAATCACTCATACTAGCACAAACACATAAGACCCATGTACGTACACTTAATGATATCTTATTTTTTTTCAAATGGGCGAGTTATAAAAGCTTTAGAAACGTTATAACTCCAAGTGGGAAAATGAAAAGGTTGGTCATCAATCAACTTATAGGTATTTCTTTTTTCTTGACCCAAATCTTATCTCATGCATGGTGAACATAAATTACCTTGTGTAACATGTTGCTTGACTATAACAAAATACTGAGCCATGGACACTTGTGTGGTAGAATTTATGTGGCTTGGATACCTCATGGACGCTTTGCACCTATCTTTTTTTAAACTAGAACTCGTTTTCTATAATGATTCCGCTATGTCCAGAGCAAATTGTTTAATGTATGAGCAAAAAAATCCTACCACAAATTTCTTAATGTCTGGTAGTTTCATATCTTTGCTCATTTTACAATATAATATCAATTCATACATACTTTTTCTCAACCTATTGAAGGGTAGGGAGTTACTTTGTTTGATAACTAATAAAACTATTTTTATGATTGCTCATTGTTTCTTAAAAAATCTCATTTTCAATCTTTTGATGTTATATATATAAATTATATATCACTCGCATTTCATTTCTTTCTAAAAAATGTTTATTTTCCATTTAAAAACAATTTAGGTTGAATGTGTGAATGCAGGAGTTATTATCGGTGCACCCAAGATAATTGTCGGGTCAAGAAACGGGTTGAAAGATTAGTTGAGGATCCGAGGATGGTGATAACAACATACGAAGGTCGACATGTTCACTCTCCATCTTGCGATGAGGTTGATGATTCGCAACCTTCATCTCAATGCATTAATCTTATCCTTTGGTAATAATCACGAATCACTCAAACACTTTCGAGTATATGTATGTATGCACATTATCTATCATCGAATTTAATTTTTTATATTTGGCAATAGATTATGCAATACTATCTACACAATATTTTATTTATACTCGATGGAATTATTAGTTTATCGCATGACTAGTTTGGATGATTTTAAGGCAGGGTGTCAAGTTTGAGGTCTTTGTATCCAATCCTTACAACAACATTGTGGAAGTTTTATCCAATGTGATAACTCCTTATACACACAAGGCACAAGAAAATCCAAAGACAAGACTAGGGGGTGTATTGTACATAGAATTCTATTCATATTTTTAAAATCAATTATTTATATTCAATTTTTAAATGTTAATGGACTTTGTTGAAAGTCATGGACTTCTGTTGATATTTCGAAAGTCATTGACTCAAGTCCATGGACTTTTATTTATATATCTTTCATAGACTTTACTTCCTCCATCTAAGTATGTTTATCCAATGTTTCGCTTTTTACCCTCAAGTTAGATGATTTTTAATTAATTAATAAATATTATATTTTTTATATTAATAACAAAATAATTTTTTTATTAATAAAATAAATATTATATTTATATTATATTATATTTTATATTAATAAAGTAAAATATTTTTTTGAATATTCTTTACAAGATAATTCTAATTACATTATTTTTAATACTAACTGATAATGTAATATTTATTTAGTTGATGATTAGAATTTATCATGTTTGACTTTAAAAATTAAAGTTGACCAAGCACAAAGGAGAAAATTTAGTATTTTAATAAAATAGATAGAAAACAGTGTATTGTGCTGCATTGAATTCATCATCTCAATCAAATGTTCCAACAAAAATGAAAACAAACTCTACTAAAACAAATAACGTAAAAAAGTTAATTATTTTCACTATTAGCTATTGTCCACATATAATTTACAAGATTCAATCTCCATTCATTAGCTTTCTCTCATTGTGGATCTTGTGTTTGAGCATCATCCCATTCATAACTCTTATTTACAGTGTCTTCATCTAGAGATGGAGGAAATTCAGCTGAATTCTGAACACGCTAAAACAAGTTCTTCTTGTGTCTTGTATGAAAATGGTGGCGCTATTTCGAATACTGTGAATCGTGACTTGAATATTCCGAATATTCGCTCAATTATGTTTTTAAAGAAGAATGTCAAAGATTGAATAACTCGCGTGCATTGGTAGGGTGATTTCCTCCTCTGCCAAAATCTTTAAGATGATATCGAGTACCTCAAAACAATGTTAAAAACTGATGATGATTTGGAAACCTACAATCCCCCAAGTAATATTTACTTATTCATCAAAACTTTTTTTAATTTATAGAAGCATCAACAACATTTATTACCATTTAAATAGGGCTTTGACTATTTAAAATATTTTTAAACTATAAATTCCTATAAAGCGTGTAATATATTTTTTAATTTAATAAATAATTATTTTTGTTTCCATACATAATAAAACATAAAAGGCAATGTCGATTAATGTGCAAAAGCTTCAATAACGATTATTACAATTTAAAATATGTTTAAGCCCAAAAAATTGACCATGTAAAATATTTTTCAAATATATAAATGTGTAATATAAAAATTTCATATATTAAAGTGACCAATAATTATATTCACTAATTCCAATTCATTTTTTGCATTACCAATTCTAAATTCACACAATTTTTGTGCTACCAAACATGAGAATTGGAATTGAAGTCCTCAATTCCAATGTAGTAGAATAAAATAACAATAACAACAATTATACTATTTATTATGGAGTATTATTATACACACATATACATATTTTTATGTAAAAGAAGAGAGAGATTTATAAGTATATGTAATGAAATAAATACATTATTATTATTATTATTTTCATTATTATTATTTATTGCACTATGATAATAATTCTTCCTTTGTCCACCATAGATCTTCCCGGATACTATTCACATGGTCAAACTTCACTCAATTTGTTTGCTTATTTTTACTAGTTATTTCATAAAATAATATGGTCTTGTCACCTCTAGTTTTGTAGAACTTTTCATGTAGTTTATTACTGTACTATATAAATTTTATTTTAAAATTTTACTCCTATAATCAATTAAATTGAATGGAAAATAAAGTCAGTCAAGCCTCGTAACGCGTAATGGGAAGATCTTAGATGCACGGAAGGAGTATTAAATAAATAGTAGTAAGGCCAAATGTGGGCCAAGCTTAAGATTCAAATTGTTCGGTCTTCTATACAGGCCGGGTTGGGCTAACACCTAAAAAATCTCTCGGAACGTAGTGTCTGGATCTGACCAAATCCGACTCGGCCCGACCCAAACTTTAATCAGGTCTATGTAAGACCAAATGTGGCTAGAGCTAGAGGAGGTGAATAATAAATACGCAGGGGGACTATGCTGGTCTCGATCTGGCCCAAACCCTTTTTCCTTTCAATTTCACGGCCCATCAGATAAAATTTGACTACTTCCAATTAAATTTATGCCCCAATTAAGATGGATTTTTTATTTACAAAAATGGAGATGGGTATTGGGGTCATCAATCACCATAAGTCCTCAACCCGATGATGATTGTGAGAAAGATCCAATTAGGACTAAAACATTGAAGATATATACCAAAATAGGACTTCCATGTTTTTATTCTCGAAATAGGATTTACATTACCAAACATGGTCATATACATTACCAAAAACGTATAGTAATGTGCACATGTACACTGTCACATTACCACAATGCAAAGTCCTATTTCGGAGAAAAAACATGAAAGTCCTATTTTGATACTTTTCTCTATGTTTTAGTCCTATTTAGGGTGATTTCTAATGATGATTCCAAAAAACAATGTGTTCTATACTTCTATTATGTGGTAAGACTTCAAAGATCGTTGTGCCTTAAATTTTTTTATTTTAAATTTGAAAATAAGGTTCATGGTTAGAGTATGCCCCCAAAGATCATATGAGAATTTGCTTATATAATCATATACTCCGTAATTTTTATGTTTACCACTTTTTGAATTTCATGAATTTAAGCTATAAACTTTTTGATCGCTCTTCAAAAAGTTAATTTTTTTTATTTTCCTAAAACGTAAAAAGATTAACCAAATGTCTCAATTAATATTCTGATTTCTCGATATAACTTCAAAGATATATATGAATAAAATAAATATTCTTCTCACTTCTTATTTTATAAAGTAGAACTTTTGATATAGTTTTAAAATACAAAGTATGTAATTTGTACGGGGTACATTTTTTTCAATACTATGTAAAAAATAACGTTTAGAAAATAAAAGTATTTTTTAGAGCTTTAAAAAAAATTTGGAGAAATCAAATTTTACACATTATTGGAATTGAGACAATGTTACATGGTCAAAATTTTAGAAGGGTCCCACTAATTTTCACACTCCCCTCTCACTAAAGTTTAGATATGCTAATACTGTTAAATATTTGTGATTTATATAAAATGTAGATTAAAGTTGGGATGTTAAGTGTTTCCAAAAGTGCTTTTAGGAAATATGTATCGGGATGTAAATGGATAATCGAAAATTTTATTATCATCTACATTTGTATCCCTTTATATGGGAAAAATTCGTATATATTTTAAACGGATATTATCTGTATCCGGTTAGCATATCTGATTACTAGGCGGATACAAATTTGGTAATTATATTTCTCATCCGTTTAATTTCTGATCCGGATATACATCCATTAAAATAACTATTTATCTGAATGACGAATTACTAGTACCTACCTAGCCCATTATACTTGGCCCAAATATCTAATACCTTCTAACCCCGATTACTCCATCGTCCCTCTCTCAATCACGTCGCCGCCTCTCCCACCCAATCTGCCCACCTCTCTCAATCTGCCAGCCGATCGTCACTCGGCCTCTCACGTTTGGATGCAACCCATCTCCGACTCTCTCAATCAATTCACTCAGACTCTCCCTCATTACCCGATCATCTCACCCAGACGTCATTGCCATCTCCTAGACGTCTCTCGCTCTCTCGTCTTCCCCCATCTCCGACTTGTGATCATCTGCATCTAGCGATAGACCAGAAGGTATTAATTTTTTAATTTTTTTTCTTCTAATCTTATTTTCACATTATTTGCTTCTTATTTGCTTTTAATATTTTCTAGATTTTTATTGGATATTCTATCAGCTTCGGATATTCAGTCAGCTTTGGATATGTAATCGGATCTGAATATATTCGTAGCCAGGAATTATCCGTCGGATCTAGACTCCGATATAGAAATGTAAATATCCATCGATTACGGATAGATATATCCTAAAGTTTAACCAAATACAAATTCAAATATGCCATATCTATCGCAGATATTCGCTTACCGCGCTAAACATGCAAAAAATTACTTTCGGATGACGCGAGTTTTGTTGAAATAACTGGCACGTCATTGCATTTTTAAAAGACATCAGGGTTCCTTATATTTTATTTTAAAGACTATGAGGGGATCTTCCGTCCATTATTCCATTAATAGCCCTTAAGAATATATATTTTTTCATTTGTCCATACTATACACTTACATAAGAAATTGTAAAATCTTTATGGAAAAAGAAAAATGAAGAGAAAGGAAGCTAAAAAGTGAAGGCTCACAACTTTATTTGCATAAAACCATTAAGGGAAAAATTGGAGAAATATATTTTTTAATGATGATTAACAAAATATTAAATGAAATGTCCCATCCTAGACTTTGCAATAAAATGTTAGAGTTCCTAATGTTTTTTTGTAATAGAAAACCAATAAGTTACTTGAATAAAACCCACGTCTCCCCGATAGGGTTGTAAACGAATCGAATTGAATCGAATATCATAATATTTGAATTTGTATTTGATTAATTCTTTCGAATACGAATCCGAATACGAATATAAAACGAATTAAAAATAAGATTTATATTTGTATTTGATTAATATTCGAATAGTTAACGAATCGTAAACGAATATTAGAATAATCACATTCCGTAATTTATATGTCGATTTTGAATAATTAAACTTACAATATTTCTTATACCATATCTAAAAATATTAATACATCTGTGTCTTACACAAATTATATTTTATAAAATATAACTATTAAAAATTGCATGCTTTAAATTTTTGTATTATGTTAATATCATGAAATCTTTGTAATTTAA